AGGAAGGCCCTCGGACCCGCCCTGGGAACAAGGCTTACTGGCTGTGGGTCTGCAGACCCGCCCCCACCCCCCAACTATCTGGGGTCTTCGCAGACTGGAGCAGGTGCCAGGTGGAGCAGGAAATGCCACCGGGGGCCCTCTGATCCAGAACTTCTCTCTGGCCGCTGTCGGGATCCCTGTGAGCATCTTCAAACGCAGACCCAGGGCCCGGCCCAGCCTCACAGAGTCGGGCCCCAGTGGAACATGGCTCAGGGATCTGCATTTCCAAAGTCCCTTCGGGGAGTCCACTGCAGGCAGGCGCTAATGGGGGGAGCTAGCATTCAGGGGACCTCCCATCTGCTGGCCCTGCCCACTGGGCAGAGCTGATGGGAGGGGACCCCAGCTGCCTGTGGCAGGGTTGGGAGGAGGGCTGTCTCCCGGCCCTTCCTAGGTCAGCTCCTTCCACTACCCCGTGTCAGGGGCCATGGCCTAGTGACCCTCAGTCTGCCCTGCCCAGCCACCCTGGGCACTCGAGCTGGGGAGGGCTGTGTGGAAGGGGCGGGGAGCCTTGGGAATGCAGCAGCCCCTTACCTCTGATCTCAGGCACCTCCATTCTGTTGACTGGCTGGAGCTCGCAGCCAGGACGTTCAGATGGCAGGCATAGGAGGGGCTGGGGAGGGGCCGCGAGAGCCCTTGGAGGGGTGGGCGGAAGGGAATAAGGCGTCTGTGGTCTCCATCACCTCGCTCACCCTTTCCCTCTCCCTCACATGTTTCTGGGTGCCTCACCCCACCCAACTAGAGAGGCTGAGGGTGGTCCTTGAAGATCCCACCGAGGTCTCTGAGCAGAAGGCCTGGCCATCCCAGCAACCACCAGGCTGCAGCTGGAACTGGGGGCCATGCTGCCCCAGCTGCCCCCAAGGCACCCACACCCCCGGCCACCCTGTGCTCATTCCCACAGCGCCCCTCCCAGGCACCAGGCTCCCAACAGGACAGCCTCTCCCGCACGCCACACCTCGATCCGCTGCAAGCTGGCTCTGGGCTGCTGGGGGTGGGGGTCTGCATCGCTCCCCCAGGCCTCCAGGGAGCAGAGCTGGCTCACGAGTCCCCATCTGGGACAGGCAGCAGGAACAGACCCAGGGGCCCCTCCTGACCGGGAGTCGGGAGCCCGTGTCCAGGGGCTCTGCCAGCTCCTCTGCGCACCACCTGGGTGCGTGTCTCCCTCCCAGGGCCTCAGCTTCTCCTCTGTAAAGTGAGGGCGAGGGGACCAGGGACAGAGTGTCACTCACTCGCCCCCCCACTCCCACCCTTGTGGGTCGTTTCACTCCACCTGCACTGGAGCCGCTGCACGAGAATCTGCACAAGACAGACCCCTCACCCTTCACGCCTCCTGCAGCACCCCTCCACCCAGTGCCTGGAAGATGAGTGGCGGGGGGCAGGCCATGGTGACATCGGTGTCTCCTGTGACAGGGTATGTTCAAGAGACGCCACTACTCGGAGGAAGCGGGCAGCAAGGAGACTGCCCCAAGGAAGGGCATTTGAGACGGGCCTTTGAAGGACGAGCTGGAGTTCTCTACACTAAAACAGCAGTGGGGCGGAAGGCGGGACCCCGGGGGGCGGGGCTCCGGGAGGCGGGGCGGAGCGATCAAGGGCGAGCCTAGGTGCGCACAGGCTGAGCTCGGCCGCCCTCTGCAGGCCAGCACCCTGCCACCTTCCCACACTCCCTTTCTGGACTCGGGTCTAGAACCGAGGACCCAGGGCCAAGGTGGGGCCAGAGTGAGGGCAAGAGGGGCGCCTAGGCCACCACCCTGAGAGTGAGCGCCTCCTCGCACTTTGTACCCTGCCCGAGACTCCTGCGGCCCCGCTCAGGTCCCAGCCCTGTGTCCTTGGGGAGTGTTCACCTAAACGCCTGTGTGTTCGTTTTCTTTGAAAAATGGGACAGCTGGCAACTCCCGGCACCCGGTCTTAGGCCGCCAGAGTGGGAGACCGTGACCTTGGCTGCCCTTTCCAGCGGGCGGTGGTGGGCCAGGAGGAACCTCCCCTGCGGTGAGAAGCAGTCATTTCTCACCGTCCTGGGCGGGGCAGAACCAGCAACACAATGGGAACCACTTCTTCTGCATCAAGGTCGGTGGGTGCCGGCTCCGCCCTGTCTCTCTGCTGCAGGGGGATCCAGGAAGTGGGAGGCCCATCTATCTGTGGGACTGAAGGTTGGGAGAGGGACACTTTTGAAAGTCTCCACTTGAGGTTCAGGTGAGTGGAAAACCCCAAAGCTGGAGGCTGCTGGGGAAAGTGCCGAGTTATGCCTTAGGGACTCATTCCCTAAAAAGAAGCTTGGACAATCGCTTCGGAAACCGCGTTTAGTTATGACAAGTCCCACTTAAGTCGATGACATTGGGCAAATCTGTGGCAGAAACTCATTGGGGACTTAGGAGTGCCATCTAGGTCTCAGGTGAAGCACGTCATGTGTGCTTTGGGTCGTGTGGCTGAGGAACCACCCCTGGCATGAGCTGGACTGTGTGTCCCCAGAAGGCGTGTGGGAGCCCTAAGCTATGTCTCCTGGGGACGTGACCTTATTCAGAAGTAAGGTCTTCGCAGATGTGATGAAGATGAGGTCCTTAGGGTGGGCCCTGATCCAATGACAGTGTCCTTAGAAAAAGCAGGGAGTTTGAACACAGAGACTGACCCCACACAGGGAGCGCCGCATGAGGAGGGGGCCGAGGAACACCTGCCATCACCGGCAGCCGGGAAGACACATGGAAGGACCCTCTCCTAAGACCCACAGACACCGGCCTCCAGGACTGCGAGACGAGCATTTCTGTTGACATAAGCCACCCAATTTGTGCTCATTTTTTACAGCAGCCTAGGAAACTGATCCCATCTCCCATCAAACTCCCAACTCAGTTTTTCTAAAGGTTACATATCTACACCTAAGTCCTGAAGTGGCAGCCGGTGTCTGCAAGGTGTGGGTGGGGGGAGGCGACGCATAAGAATGAGCCTCTAGACAGCAAAGAAACACAAAAGGTCCCTAACTTAAAAGGTTCCACTCCTCAGGTGCCAGCAGCGCTCAGTTAAGTAAACAAGGCAGATTTCTGGGAGCAGAGGCCCTGGCCGTCACTGGGTCTCAGTGGACCTTGGCTAGCCAAAGCTTTTACTTGCAGTGGCTCGCAGGTCCCAGGCAGTGGGCTTAGAGGAGAAGCAGGAGGAAGTACCTGGAATGGCAGGTATGACGTGGGCAAGGTGACAGTGCGTGGTGGTGATGAACCCAGAAGCTGAAGCACCAGGGCCTCTCAGGTGGCTCAGCCACACCTGCAGACAGGGATGCCGAAGCCTAGAACAAGTGCACACAAAAGAGGATTTCCTGATCTCCGCGTGGGGAGGGGAGCCCAAGCCTCGAGGGAGCTCAGCCCTTCCTTCCGCCACCGCGGGACAGGGCCACTCCGCAGGCTGCTCCCATGGGTGACTCAGGACAGAGTGGGAAGATGGTGGGCTTGGGAGAAGATGGTTCTGGAGTCTGGCTCCCTACCTCCTTGCTGAAGGACCTGGGACAAGTCCCCTAGGAGCCCTGGTCTCCTGCCTGAGGGTCACTGCCCTGCACGGCGGGGGGTGATGTTAGGGAGCGTGTGTGATGTTAGGGAGTGTGTCTGGGGTGGCCGGCCCAGTGCAGGAGGGCCGAAGGCTCCGAAGGGCTGAGGCCCTGGGAGCGGGGAGGCAGGGCACGAGGGGGCATCCCATGGGGCCTTCCCCAAAGCAGCCCCCTGGGTTTCTCTGGGACAAAGCTAATCCTGACCATCTGGAGCAGTGGGCACGGAAGGGCTGGCCCTCCCTGCTGGCCCTGCACTGCTGTCGCTCACCCTCGGCCATAGTTGGGACTGTCCCAAGGCTCAAGAACCAGCTCAGGAGGTGAGAGGGGGCCATTGTTCTCTGGCCTCCGGAGTGTGAGAGGACGTGTGTCACGAGGCCTGCCCCGTGCCAAGGCCTCCTGGCGGGGGGTGGGGGTGCATGACGCTGACCCACTGACCATGTCCCCCATCGCCTGTGGGGGAAGGGAAGGCCTCCAGAGGCGGCCCTCCGCCCCCAGGCCGTTGGCAGTGACGGAGCAGGGCGGATGGCGGGCCTCAGCTGCGCTGGTCGGGTAGTCGGCTTCCCACGAAGGCCCAGCATGTGGTCACCCTTTCCCCGGGGGCCCCACAGTCCACCCCGCGACGGAGGACCACTTCTCTGGGGAGATTCCTGCAGGCTCTGTCTTCAAGGGGTCCCCAGTCTAGAGCGAAGCGTCACTGGGAAAACCAAGCCCCCACCTCCTGGCCCAGGAGCCCCCCCGGCATAGTGGGTCCAGGTGCCCCCGGAGTCTGGGCAGAGGCGGGAGTCTGATTAGCCCCCCAGGGCCGCAGAGACAAAGTCCCACAGACGGAGCCGCCTAAAGCAACAGAAACGTGTCAGCTCGCAGTTCCGGAGGCCGGACGCCCCCAGTCTTTGGTGCCCCGCGAGCTGCGAGGGGTCTGGCCCCGCCTCTCCTCGGCTTGAGGGCAGCTATGTGCTCCTTGTGCTCACGTCTCTGTGTCCGATCCCCCTTGTCATGAAGGCACCCGTCACACTGGATTAGGCGCCACCTTGCCCCAGCATGAACTCTGCTTAACCAATTACTTCTCAATTGCCTATTTCCACCCTGAGGCACTGGGGCTAGGGCTCCCTGTATCTTCCTGGGGGGCTGGGGGCGGGGAAGGGGGCGCCGGTCAACCCTAATGCCCAGCCTTCCTGTCCCACTGCTGGGGTCCACGTTCTCCCGAGTGCTTCCCGCTTTCTCACATTTACAGGTCCTCCTTATTTATGATTTTTTTTTTTACTGTCTACTCCCACTAGTCTGTAAGCGACCGGGGTCAACTTCTGTCTGCCTTGTCTCCCCCTGTGACCCGAGCGCCGTATGAATGAATGCTGGCGCGGGCTGGCCCTGGACGCTTAGCTGCCGAGTGAGTGGAGAAGCGGAAGGGAGGGGGCGTTCGTGGGAAGCGGCCACGAGCAGATCTTCACCTCCAGAGACGTCACGGAGATCACGCCACCATCCAAGACCCGAAGGACGGGGGGCGGGGGGTGGGGGGCGTGTCACTGTCCACGCTCGCTCACGCGTTTGTCTGTGCAGGAAACGAGGTGCGTCGCCGGCGACACTGGGCCATTGCAAGTTCACAGGCGTGACGACCCCCCGCCGCGGCTGTCCTTCCCGGAGCGAGCCAGTACACGCGTCGTTCAGCTGTGGCTCGGGGACCTCCCTGCCGTGTCCCCCAAACCGAGGATGCTGGGAGCAGCGTGCCGTCCTTCGGCAGGACCAGATGTGGCCCTTGGCCAGCTCGCCGTGGGGGCACGTCAGCTCGACCGCTCTTGGCCACGGTTCAGTGCCCAGATCTTGATCGTCTCATGAGACTCGACAGCACACCGTTCCATTAAATGGGTGACGTCCCATTGACAGGCGGCAGAGCCAGGCCTTAGTGATACTCTAGACACTAAGATAATACACGTGCTTGCCAAAGGGATACATCCGTGAACATTTAGGAACTCGCCACAGCTGTGTGAAATTTGGGGGGTTCAGTGGTAAGAAAATGTCAAGACTTCCCTCAACAGTCAAAGACAAGTTGTTACACCTTGAGTACCTTAACGCTAGGAAGAAGACGTACATTTTGACGGGTGCATCAAATACTCAGCTGCCTTTAGCTTCAAGTAACAGGAGTTGGAAAGAACAGTAACTTTCTGCCGTCAACGGCATGCCTCCTGGCTCAGGATGGCTGCGAGAGCTCTCGCCATCATTTCCATGTTCTTGACAGGAACTGGGGGGCTGGGCCAGGGGTGGAAGGACAAACGGGATTTCCTGGAAGGCACCCAACAACTAACACCTACAGGTCATTGGCCGCTCGTGTACAGGGGAAGGCAGGGGGCGGTGCTGGAGCGGGGAAGGAGGAGGAGGAGGAGGAAGAGGAAACGGATATGGACGTAGGGCAGGTAACCCTTAATCCTGGCCTGCGCTCGACTGCACCCTTCTCACCTAGGTAGCAAGAGCCCCAGAGCAGACCCGCGCTGAGCACGGGCCCCGCCAAGGAGGCCTAGCTGGGCCACACCATGAGCAGCTCTCACTTGGCAGTGCTGCTCGACGAGACGCCGGTGGAGGCTGTGGCAAGCGCCGACAGAACAGGGTGGGAGGCCCCCGGGCTGGGAGCAAAGCCATATCCTCTTAGGAAATACATCGTGATTTGGAGGTGCGAGTTTTGGCTTGCCCCTGGGCTCCGCCTCAGACCGTACATGAGGCCATGAGTATATCACAGGCCCGTGTGATCTGAAGTGCCCATTGGTGACATGAAACAATAATGCGGGGTCTGCCCAGAAGTACACTGTCATCGGGGGGATGGGGGTTGACCTCGAGCACGGGTAAGTTGCATGAGCAAGTGGGCCACACCCCTGGCATGCCCTGCTTCCCCACCTCAGCCTACACCTGTGACCTCATGAAGTTTCCGGCGACACGTCTGACAACATTATTCTCGTTATACTAATAAAGAAACTGAGTCACGGGGACACTGAACAAGTTGTCCAAGTTGCCCAGCCAATAAAGTGGAAGAGCTGGGACCGGAGGGGACACAGGATTGCTGTGGGGGCGGGAAGGAGGAGGGGCGGGACCTGGGCAACTGCCTGACGCGCCTCCTAGGACTAGCGCATCCTGGTAACAGTTCATGGGCGATCATAGCAGCCAGATGCGGCAGGTCGGCAAGGCGCACATTCCTCCGGCCGGTGGGTTAGGTCACTGTACGAGGGAGAGGTGCAACCTGCAGAGACCTGGCTGAAGGCAAAGTGAGCACGGACTGGGGAGAAGGAAGTCGGGTCGCTGCGATAAGGGCCTGAGCATGTATCCACATGTCCTTCCTCCCCAAGGCATTATCTATAAAATCTCCCCGAAGCATTATCTATGAAATCTCTTCGCTGTCTCTCCTCGCTGCTTTATCAGGTGGTGGTTGGTGGTAAGTCTGAACTTCCGCCCATGAGCTTCACAATCACCAGGGCAATAAAGGCAGAAAGGACGCGTCAGCACGTCCTGGCAGGCGCTGCGGAGCCCCGGTCGGGCGGTACGGAGGACTGAACGGTTTCAGTGCACAAAGGGTAGCTGGGCTGCGGCGTTCTTCCCTTCGGCAGTGCGGGTGGGGACGAGGAGTGGCGTTTGTCGGCGTGAAGCAGCAACAGCCTGCGCTGTAGTGGACGCTCTCACCCTCCACCCTCTTCCAGCATCTGAACTCCTCTGCCAGGAATCCCCTCCTTAGCAGGCGGGGTCTGCCTGTCACTCTAGGAGCTGCCCGCCTCTGTGCAGCAGGGGTGCAGGGAACTGACCTAGGCTTCCCCAGTCAGCAGCTCCTGCCGACTTTGAACTGGAAGCAGAGACTGCACAGAATTCATTCCAGCAAGTTTGCAGCTGCCGCCGCAGCCCCGCTCATGCAGAGTGTCCAGCTAGCATCCAGGGGGGTCCGTTTCCAGCACTATCGGGGGGCAGCAGGGGCTGTCTTCACCATGCCAGTTCCGCAGCTCAGGGGGATGGGGTAGGGCTGGGCTCAGCTGTGACCGGCAGAAGGGTCTACATTTCTCACACGTCAGGAACTGGAGGAAGGTAGCCTGAGGCTGGCGGCGCAGCTCTTGGAAAGGCACCCGCGTCCCAGGCTCTCTCTTTCGTTCCTTGTTTTCAGCCAGTGGCTTCCACCCTCATGATCCCCAGACAGCCGGGGCGTGGGGGAACAGCCCGGGGTGTCCGGGCGGTAGGAGACAGTCCGAGCGCAGAGGTCAGGGCGTGGGGAAAGAGCCCAGGGTGTGAGTGGACAGTGCGAGAGCGTGAGGACAGCCGGGCGCAGGCTCGCGTGGGGCGCGCAGGACGAGCGCCCGGCAGGCGCCGCAGCAGCGGCCGCGGAGACTACATTTCCCAGCAGGCGGCGCGCGGCGCGTCACTTCCGGCGGCGCC